TTTCTTTAAAACATTCAACAATTGCGAGAAACTTAATGTTCTTTGATATTTATTTGAAAACAAAAAGCATCGATCAATATATTGGTACATATTGATCTACTAAAGTCTATTTCAGAGATAAGTGGCCGTGGGCACTTTTCGAATAACTTTTCATAAGAACGAGATAGATACCTGTGGTTTTCACCGTTGGAAAGAGAAGATGAAGACGCATCGCACCATATATAGAAAGATTTTCCTAGCTACTTTTCTAAAGGTTCTAGTCCAACATTTTCAAAGAATTGCTTTTTTCTGGTACATTAAAAAAGAGATTTTTCTATCAAAATACTACAAAAACTTCCAGTTTTCGATTATGTTGTTGAAAAACCGAGATGGGAAATTATGTCTTCCATGGTTTGGATATCTTACTGGTAGCCGTTAGGAATAGAATCTTGATATTGTTTTTAGCGCTTTGTTTGGCGGTTCTAGCGCACTCCTGAAAATTAATAAATTAATATCATGACGATGAGAGGCATGCTGTTTTTCTTGAAGTTTTATGTAAAACCTTTAGGAAAGTTGTTAGAAAGATCTTTCTATATATGATTTGATGCGTCTTTATCTCCTCTTTCTAATGGTGAAAACCGCAAATCTCTGTCTCATTCCTATGAAAAATTATTCAAAAAATACACACGACCATTTATCTCTGAAACGAACATTAGTAGAGATTTATCGCGCCGAAATAAATGAATCTCTTACTGTTGAAAATAAGAAATAAACCCTTGTATATAATATAAAACCATTAAAAATTTACTATTGATCATTCATTGAAGTGTAGAATCTCCTATATCTAAAGAGTCTTTGTTCTTTTCTTCTACACAACAAGATCGGTGATAAATTAATATTATTCAATATGCCACGAACTATAAATATTATATGCAGTAGGCAAAGTCGAAAGAATTAATCATTTACTCCGAGTCGAGATCATATGGTATGCACATCATCAACGTCTAAAAACATTTGTTCGAATGTGTTTAGATTTTACGAACTCTACTAGAACAAGAAAAGTGAATATATATAATCTAACAAAAATACTAAATTCCAACCAAACAAAAAAAAACCTATTCCTCATGCCATTATATACAAAAGCTACAGAGGAATATACTGATTTCTATAAATATTAATAGACATTTCGAGGCTGATCTTAATTTTAAACGTGTACTTGGAATATTATCCTTAGATAAAATACCAGTCACAATTGTCAATTGCTATCGTTAATTCAAAAATTATGTCAACTATGAGGATCATACTATGAAAGAAAAGCAATGATTCAGCATAAACATCAGCAAAACGGAAGTAATCTAACCTTTTGAAAAATATCCCATATAAATCATAATAGAGAGAGAGAAAGCATATCGTAAAACATAAAAACAAGAAACGATTTATAATTGTTTATTATGATCTCTAAGATACAAAAACATGTTCATTCCTTTCAATATCAATCCAACTACTATTCAATATCGTTTAATAACATATACTGATAAAAACTTTAATAAAATTCGTCGATTTTACACACACCGCAAACCTATTTTCCCTCCACAATCCTGAAATATTACCCTCCTTTATCCTATCATTCACACAAAGCATACACTCCCTTTGACCAAAATGACCCAAGATTCTCAAACAAGATTCATTTTTCAGAACATACTACTACATTTAATCCTCAATACATTCCTAAACAAATCGTACTCTTATTTGTAACGCAGCAGAACGTGCCTATTATACAATATTTTCCACTAAAGCAAACAATTCGAAATACGATTTCAACAACCCATATACTCAACCAACATTTCCTCAAAATTAAGACGACATCTCTATACATAAAACAAATTTATAGACTAAATCCATCAATCCTCATATTCTCACATTCGAGGAAAACTAATATTATTCCCCATCCAAACCACTAAAAATTCAGTTCAGCCTCCTACTTCTATTCTAATATAAAACAATATTCGATCTCTCAACCCTTCATGTAAGACTTTCATTCTTTCGCAACTTTTCCACATCTACTAAAACCATGCGACCAACCAGAAAACCACTAGAAATTTTAACCTCACCATGAACCAAAAAATATCACTATATTTAAATCACCAGCAATCATCGAAACTTACATTTCCACTGCCCCATCTATACCATAATCCCCTACCTAATCAATTCTCTTTCCCAACTTACACCACAAATGATCTAAAAACAACACATGTCCCAATCCCACCCGACATAAAAACCACAAACAAACCCTATCGAAGACATCCAAAACTAATTGTCTTTCTAATCTTCTTTTAGGCGAACACAAGCATGATCTACTAAATCAACAAACCACTAATCAAACACCAGATGCATATGCTCTTGCTCTTGCTGCTAATAATCTTGCTGATTTTGCTGCTGCTCTTGCTGCTAATCTTGCTGCTTGTAAGTTGAGTTCTAATATGATCGAACGGTGATTCAGGATTGAAAGATATTTATTTGGAAAGAAAAGATGAAATGTTTTAGAATTTTGGGGTTATTGATGTGGTTCAAATATTTTTGTACTGATAGTGTTGAGTGAATATGCGGGGAAGCGGGAAGTACTGTAACATTGAAGAATATGCGTATGATGAGGAGTGTTCGGGGCGCATGTGTGGAGCCGGTAATGCAGTTTCTTTTTTATGTGGGAGTTTCACTTCAGTGTTTTGTGAAAGTATCCGTCGTGGATTTGTGTGACTGTGTTGTGTGCCCATTTTGGGGTATTTGTGGGATTGGTAGGCGATTTTGTTGACACGTAAAGTAGCCAGATTGTTGATGTGATTATCCCTATATGTTGTGAGGAGAAAAGAATAGGAAGCTCGAAATAGTATATGGTGTTAAGATGATGATAAATGAATTATATTTTGGCAATGAGAGTTCATCAATGAGGTGATATGCTGAATGCTAAGCGGATTCAAGGTAGGATAGGAGTAAAATTTTATTTGGAAACAGCAGTTGTCTGGTATGTGGATTCAGTTTCTATGAGTACAAATTTGTTTTCTAAGGACGGTAGTTTAGCTGAAACTTTATCGTATATGAACTTTAATTGAAGTAAAAGTGATCAAGACTGGAGAATTTTAAGAAAAAAAAGGAAAAGTTCTTTTGTGTTGCATGGTTGTAGACATATCATAATGATTTTTTGATTTTATATTCACGTTTAAATATGTTTCATGTTGGAGTACGGAACGTTGCGGTCTCTCTGAGGGTATTGAAAGTATTGTGGGTCTTTAATTAATTTATAATTTATGTAGAGTGTTGAAATTAAGTATTTGTAGAAGTAGGAATGGAAGTGTTTAGTAGAAAGATAAAAGTTAAAGTTTAGCATTATCCATCGTGACAGTTGTATGCTGATATGAACTCTATAATGATTTTGTAACTGATGAGCTACTTCATTGATGAGAATATTAGTGAGCATTTTGATTGAGACCATTCTCCTACGTATTGGCGGATTGTAATGATCGCGAAGTTGAAAGAGTTTTAATAGATTTGTATCATAGAAATCTTTTCTTTTATAGTGAAATCAATAGTGTATTAGAATAATTCTAATCAAAATGATTCTGTCTAGGGATGCGCCAGTTTCGGTTCTAAAATTGGAATCGGTGGAACCGATCGGAACCGAAACCGAAACCGATTGGAACTGAGCGGAATCGAAACCGGAACCGACTGGAACTGAGATCGGAATCAGTCAGGACCGATCATCATTAGATTTTTCATTGCCCAGGTCGAGAAGTACGGGCCAGTTCGTGCAGGAGAACACCGGAAATGCTAGGAACTTGGAAGCAGAAATCTGGTGACTGAGTTTATCTAGGTCCCCCAGAACTGCCTAGAACTTGGTAAAATCGGCAGTCGTATATGATCACCGGTTTCTGCGTCGATTTGCTGGCATTTTCAGACAGATTTTGGCGGGAAATGGTGTCTTTCCTGCGAATTCTCGCCGGAAATTCATGGAATGCTGCTTCAGGAATCATCGACCTGGATTTTCCGATTTCTCTATGCATGGTGTCGACCGATTTTGGGTTATTTGGAAGCGATCAAAACTGGAACCAGTGCATCCCTAATTATTGTATCCATCTGTAGAACGGATTATCGAGTATATGTTAGTATGATAAGATCTCCGTTACTTCCGTTATATGGGCATTTCCAAGCTATTTAGGTGACGTAATTTCAATCGTTTTTGGTTTGATAATGATTGTCTTTTTTATACCCTTGTTTGTTGCTTCATTGTCTGCCTTTCATTAGGAAGGAAGTATGTGAATTGGGCTGTTGAAGCATATGATGACTGTGTGTTATCAATTTTGTATTGCCTGAATTGTTCATTCTGAAATACAGGATGAGACATGTTTTCAAGACTTGTCCTGTTCAAAAGAGGATGTGGGTGCGGGTGGGATGTTGTTGGAGTGCGAGTGTGGCTAAAGAGAAACTATTCACCCACACTCACATTCACACCGGCACCGACATCCACACCCTACACCCGCATATACTCCCCACCATGCCTCACGTTCACATCCTTTGACGAAAGACTTTTCTCTTCAGAAATCATTATAAAGCAACAATGGAAAATATTCAGCATAAAAAAAAATTAAAGAGCAATTCGAATCGCACCGAACTAAATTTATAAAATAGACTGGATGAGTTTTATTGGAACATTCTACGATTGATGGTCTTTATTAGTAACGAAATTATATACAGAAAGCATTGTAACTGGTGTGTAGCCATTAAGCACATGAAAATTTGAGAACAACTTCAAATCCTAGGTATTACATGATGCGGGACAATGTAATATTGAAAACAACATAAACAATTTATTTATTTGAGATTGGTGACAAACTCCGACGTTTTTTTTGTTAATAATCATCGACAGAAAAAACATTTAAAACAATATATTATTAAATAGGTGTACGTCTTGAATAGATAAATCATTTCGAGTGTTTCTTATCATATTAAGTTTTATCGTAAAAACAAATTTATTTGTTGGAATTAATAGATTTGAATTGATGCATTATTGTTGATGAATTAGCTTTAGCTGATAGTTCATCAAAAACTTCTCGTTCTAATGAAATATCAGTTTGACTTATTTTTAAAGCATTGACTTGTTCACGAATTTTTTTTCCATTAATAGGTAATCGGTAAACACTTCCAACTAAAGGAAATATAATTTTAGGTTTGAGTGCATCTTTTTCATTTTTTACTGTTTGTTTAAATAAATTTATTTCTTTCATAAAATCCTTTATCATTTGTTCAAGGTTTTGAATAATATCATTATTTTCACTATCAAAATTTCTTTTTTCATTTGTTCTTCTTTTATAAAAACTCTAATATATTTTAACATATCGTCATTTATTGGAATAATTGCATTTGCATGAAAAACTTTGGAAAGTTTTTTATATAAATATCTTTTATTTTGGTTTTTTCATCTTCTAAATCACTAATTCCTTTATCGATATCACTTGATGAGCATACATTGTTAAGACAGCGAATATTACTTCCATATTCATATGTTATACGGTGATGCTGTTTTCATGAACAACCATATTTTGTACATTTACCTACAAAACAATTTTAAAATAACAATAAAAATAAAGTCAAACCAATTCAAATAATTTATCTCAAATAACAAATTTCATTGATTAATACATGAGTTGTAATATTCAATAGATTCTCATTCATAAACGCTCCTATTCATAGATCGATTGATGTGGGCAAATGTAAAATTCGCTCTAAAATGATCGGTTCAATCCGAGATTGAACGAATTTTAGTATAGTCGCCAATTGAGATATAGATTTATGTGAGATTTGATCAGTCGAACTTTCGTCATAGAATAAATCATCGTTGCTTGTGCGGTCCTAAAATTTCATTGCATCGACAAATATTATGAAGAATATATTTATCTATCATCAATTTCCTTAAAGTTAAAAAGATGAATAATTTTAAAAAAAATTGAATAATTATTTGAACAAGTATTGAAACATTTTACAATGGTTAAAAAGATTCTTTTTTAAAGATAATAAAAATGATTTAAGATTAGACATGCACCAAATCCAAACTGTCTGAGCTCGAATATATCGGGCTCGAAGCTCGGTTGAGTTCGAACTCGAATATACATACTCGAATTCGATCAAGCTCAAACATCAAAAGCTTGAACTTGATCAAGCTCAACAATGGATGAATCAAGAGCT